CTAATAAACGAGACACAAGTAAGAAACCTAGAGAGGAAGTCCAACCTTTCCATCAATATTTACACGGGGAAAGTTCCTTAATAATGGATTGGCACCCTGTCCAGGGTGTACCCCGCTTTGTTCTCGATGCTCCTGGGAAAGGCTCTAGGTTCCCCATGACCCTGAAAAATGATAAGTGGTATAGAAGATGGATGGATGGATGGATGGATGGAAGTTCCTTAATGTTCAGAGATAAGCTAAACATGAGCATTTTCTGAGATCTGTTTCCAGATTGCCGGATTGTTCTCGTGGAGGAGCACCCATGTTAATAAAGTAATGCCAATGTTTTTGTTATTTCAACATGCCCTCCTGAAGGACGTTCTGACCAAGCAATCATCTGCTACACTTTAAGTTCGTTCATAAATCGATCCATAAAAAAGCCAATCCTCGAGATGAGCACCATCTCGGATTAAGGGGAAGTGTCCGGTCTGTGGTCAAGGCTTTGGGAAACTGGTCAGAATGTTGTGTGATCAAATCCCAACAACATCAAGCTGCCACTGTTCAGTCTTTGAGCCAGACTCTTACCCCTTAGTTTTGGATAAAAGCGTGAGACAAATGAGCCAATGTACTGCTTCTCACTCAAGCTGATATTGCTAAAAGATAATGCACTACACACATAGAATTTGTGTACAACTCAACGTATTGTTTCACATGTTGCTGATAGAAGAGCTCTATATGAACATTAGTCCAGGTACATCAGAATCAAAGAAGTATGCATTTCCTGAAACATGCAAAAATGTCACGTAATTCCCCTTTCAGCGTGTGCTCTGGTTTTCGGCTCAGGTGGTAGAGCGGGTTGTCCACTAATCGTAGGGTTGGAGGTTCGATTCCCGGCCCACATGATTGCACATACCAAAGTGTCCTGGGGAAAGACACTGAACCCCAAGTTGCTCCCGATGGCAAGTTAGCACCTTGCATGGCAGATCTGCTACCATTGTTGTGTGAGTGTGTGTGTGAATGAGAACTGGTGTAAAGCACTTTGTAGAACTTCCAAGGTTAAAAAAGCACTATATAAGTGCAGACCATTTGCACAGCGCGGTGTTCAGCACGAATCAGTGCTCCCACGTTTATTTTTGTTTGTTTGTTTATCAGTGTGTCTTGTTTCCACCCCAATTCTGTCAATGGTTTGCTGCCATATCGTTGGTTGATTGTTCTCACTGGTTTGGTAGTCGTTTCTGATCAGTTTGTTTATTCCTACTTCCTGAAGACTTATTGTGCATTATGACTGCTAAGCCTGAGCCATTCTGCTCTGTTTTTCCCCCACATCCTTTGTTCCAAGTTCCCTGGTATTGACCCATGCCTGTTTTCCCAGTTATTGATTATGGATTATCCCTGGGTTTGGTTGTCTGACGGTTCTCTGATCCCTGCTGTGAAATGTGATGACTGCCGTATATAAACTAAACACCGATCTCATGCGATTGCGTCCTGCATCTCTTTACCCTTTCACTGCATGTTACAGCAAAGTCAAAGCGACGGCTGAAACAGCTGAGATGTTTGACGAAGAGCTTGTAGACTGAATCCTGGGGGTGAGTATCTGAGTGTCATAGCCAGACGCTCAGGGATTATGTGGCTCCTGATATGGCAAATGAGAGGGACTATGTGGTGGAAGAGATTTGTAGGTTCATTTTGGAAAACACAGAAAGAGTCTGTCTTCATTGTGGAGGTTGGGGGTTCGAATCCCACCTCTGCCCTGTGTGCATGGAGTTTGCATGTTCTCTTCCTGCTTCGAGGGTTTTCTCCGGGTGCTCCAGTTTCCTCTCATAGTCTAAAGACATGAATTGTAGGCTGACTGGCAATGCCAAATTGTCAATTTTGTGTGAATGTGTGTATGACTGTGCCCTGCAAAGGGTTGGCACCCCATCCCTTGTGTCCCCTGCCTTGTGCCTTGAATTTCCATGGATAGACTCCAGTCTCCCTGCAACCCCATGTAGGATCAGCAGCATGAAAATTGGATGGAATATTATAGCATTTTTGTAACTCTGCAGCCAGCTCCAAATGACACACAGCTCCAGAGACTCCGCCTCTCTAAGATACTCTTTTTATACCCGATCAGCTTACTGACCTGTTGACAATTAAGTTAATTAGCTGCGAAGTGTTCCTCCTTTCTTTCAGTAACACTTACTGTTCTATTGTGAAAAAACATATGGGTTTATGAGATTTGCAAATCATTGCATTCCTGTTTTATTTATTTTTATTTACATTTTACACAGTGTGCCAACTTTTTTGGAATTGGGGTTTATTAGAACACACTGTAGGTTCTGAGGTTAGCATCAAGGGTTAGGGGTTAAGGCTTGAGGTTAGGGTCAGGGTATAGTTTAGTTAGTTTAGGTATAGATTGCACACTACTGCTCACTCTAATTCTATTTTCCCCGTGTGCGTGTATGCGTGAGACAGAGTGTGAGAGAGTGAGTGAGTGTGTGTGTGTGTGTGTGTGTGTGTGTGCGTGTGACATAGTGTGAGTGTGTGTGTGTGTGGACCTAATTGGCTGTTTACTGCTTTGAGGCAGAACAAATATACACACAGAGTGGGGGGGGCAGGGAGAGAGAGAGACCAACAGGCAGAGAGATAGACAGTAACAAAAACAGAGAGAGAAACAGAAAGAGAGAGACAGACAGACAGGAAGGCAGATGAGGAAGATAGAGAGACAGACAGAGTGAGACCGAGAGAGACAGAAATAGCAAGGGGCACAGAAAGAGAGAGACAGACAGACAGAGAGAGAGAGAGAGAGAGAGAGAGAGAGACAGACAGACAAAAAGGAAGAATTAGTGAGAGGGAGGAACAGAGTGTGAAGGACCAATGGAGCAGAACACATCGTATCTGTGTAGCCCAGCTGTCAGATCACTGTGTGTGTGTGTGTGTGTGCGTGTGTGTCCATGTTCATCTTTAATTAGAGCTCATTGTGTTTGTGTAAATGATTAAAGCAGACAGTAAACATAAACATCTCTCCCCTTGCGGTGTATGTGTGAGTGTGTGTGTGTATGTGTGTGTGTGTGTGTGTGTGTGTGTGTGTGTGTGTGTGTGTGTGTGTAATGCTTGGTCAGTCTTCTGGCCCTGGTGGTTCTGCTCTACGTGTTTCACAACAGCAGGTGAGGCTCCGGTTGTTGCACACACACACACACACACACACACACACACACACACACCGCACTCTTATATTAAAGCCAAAGAAACATCCGGAAGGACTCAGTGTGTGTGCGTGTGTGTATGTGTGTATGTGTGTGTGTGTGTGTGTGTGTGTGTGTGTGCTCTGCAGTGATCAAGTGGAACGAGGGAGAAGCTGCCTACGCAGAGTGCAGGGAGCGGTTTGGCACAGAGCCAACAGCATGTTCATAATAAACAGAAGAGCATTTGGGAAATATCCCATAGACTAGATGTGTGTGTGTGTGTGTGTGTGTGTCTTCTCACAGAAGACTTTCCTGATTACAGACACCACTCAGCTGTGATGTGTGTTACCTCCGGGACACCAATCAGTATTCTACACTTGTAGTTTTACTTATTCGTTATTTAATTTGCGTGTGTGTTTGTGTGTGTGCGCGTGTCTCTCTCTGTATGTGTGTGTGTGTGTGTGCGTTTGTGTTTGTGTTTGTACTGTATGTTTTCTCTCATAGAGCTTTATATCCCAGAAATGCCAGTGAAGGGAGATCAGCACCACGGACAGGGACAAGTTGAAGTGGAATAAAGTGCCCTGTGTGAGAAGAGTAAATAAGCATGGACAAACCCATGCAGTAATGTTTCTGACTATTTGATTCATTTCTATTCATATGTCTTCTTTAACAGTAGATATCATCACAAAACAGCGGAACCTCTCACCAACATGGGAAAGAAACATTGAAAGGAACCATAGAGAACCCGTTCTCAGGATGTTCACCACTGCCTCAAATTAAAGCACCCTGATCCACCAGCACATCGAGACACCACTAACAGCGAGTGTCAACTAGAGACTGTACTAAATACCTGAGGCCTAGAGACAATCAATAGCATGGGGTTAAATTGGAAAACAACCATGAAAAAGTCTTTACTGACACCTACAACCACTTCATTTATACATATTTCACCAATCAAGTTTCCAGGTGGAAAGTCAAAGCAGAGTACCTTGTGCACATTAGGAAGACACTGGTCCCAAAAACACACTGGTTAGATTCAATTGCATCCCATCCGGGGGTCTATTCTCTCCTAACACTCAGTTTTCCCAGGATGGATCTGTTGGTCAGCTGAAAGTGAATGAACAAATGGTTCCTTCAAAAGGTTTTTTCAGAAATAGGTGTCTGTTGGTGCAACCCAGTCTTACACACAACTCACCTGCAGCACCCTCTGTACCAGTGCTCACCAACCCTTGTCCTCGAGAGCTACCTTCCTGCAGGTTTCATCTTCCTACCTGTTTTAGTTGACCAAGAACTTCTTAAGGCAATGATTAGATGGTCAGATGGGCACCATAATGGTTGCACCTAAAATCTGCATAAAGGTAGATCTTCAGGAACAGGGTTGGTGAGCACTGCTCTTGCCACAACTTATCAATGTATCAAATGCCACGTAATGGACCAACGTTATTTAACCATGCCTCCTCTACTGTTACGCTATTTCAATAAAGATCACTATGTAATAAATAAAATGTACTTCTTATTTTAAACATATTGAGTGTAACCATTTGTGCCTTTAAAGGACATTTGATTAGACTTACCCTTAGACTTAAACTTCTCCTGTTCTTTGAAAAAAAATCACGATTGCAAGTCACATCATACAACAGTGGTATCACGGGTATTTTCAAGATGTGGAAAGTCTTTGTAGACTGTTGTTGTCCTTCAGCTGCTCCCATTAGGGGTCACCACAGCGGATCATACGAGTGACCCGCATATTTGATTTGGCACAGGTTTTACGCCAGATGTCCTTACTGACACAACCCTGTCATTTCATCTGGGCTTGGGAATGGCACTGGCTTGTGCGACCCCCAGTGGTTGGGGTGGTTCCCTGACTGGGACTCGAACCAAGGCTATGGTGGTGAAAGCACAGAATCCTTGTCGCTGGAACATCAGGGGACGGGGAAGGCTTTGTTGACTCTACCTAAAGACTTTTTTTTTAATACCTACATTACCAGGTGACTTGCAAGCCCGATTGTTATTGCGGAGAAGTTAGGTTTATCTCATGAGGCTCGTCGCATGTGAATGAATATTCTTCTCTGAGGCTGGGTTGGTCAGTGGTTTACTTCTGCACAATAGTGACTTCAACATCACACAGAACAACACACAAAGTGAAGTGAAGAACACCCTAACTTTGCAGTTGAACTTCCATCAGCCGCTGTGTTGGAATCAGGTCTAGAGGTGATCCTGTGGCAACAAGTGGGATGTGAAGAACACCCTGTGGTTTATATTAGTCACGAAATCTCTCCCCAATGGAGCAGTGAAGTGGAAAAGCCTCATTACTGAGTGCTGTATAGCAAACCCCGTGCCGTTACTACCAACCCGGGAGCCCTTTATCATCGTCTGTGACCACACACTTTCCAATAGATGGTGAGAGACTTACCAACCACGGTATTCTTCAGAGAAATCCTCAGAGAAGTCGGATCAAAACATGAACACTGGTCATTTTAAAACACCTAGCTGAAAGAACAAAATCATCGTTTCTCTATGTTAAAAACCTCTACGTTATAAACAAGTCACCGTTCACTTTGGATCTCATTTGAATAATCTCTTATCTAATCTTCTCTCCGAGCTGAGTTACACATACATAGTCGGGCGGCTGTGGTGCTGTTGGTAGAGTGGGTTGTCCACTAATCGTAGGGTTGGCGGTTCGATTCCCGGCCCGGGTGACTCCACATGCCGAAGTGTCCTTGAGCAAGACACTGAACCCCAAGTTGCTCCCGATGGCAAGCTAGCACCTTGCATGGCAGCACTGCTACCATGTGTGTGTGTGTGTGTGTGTGTGTGTATGGGTGAATGGGTGAATGAGACAGTGTAAAGCGCTATATAAGTGCACATTTACCATTTAGTCAGGATTTAACCAAAAAGTTGCACGCATCAGTATTCGCCACACCTCAGATGTAATTATAAAGGCCTATTCAGAAGTTACACACAGGGGGCGGAGTTTAAGTAAAGCAGAGAGTTTAACAGCTCAAGCCAAAGGACATGGTGTATTCGAATCACTTCCTGCGGCTGAGTCGATTCAGAGTCTCACTGGATGGAGGTGGAGTGAGTATACGTCGCTCAGACTCTCTCGAACCCGAGAGGAGAGAACACACCAGGGTTCAGTTCAAACACGCTAAACACTGAGTGCGTAAACGTGCAAAAGACAATTCTAGAACTTCACCTTGAAAAAATCCCGTCGTCCATCTCGGTTTTGTATCTGCGCGTCGTTTAACATAAACAAACAGGCTATTTTACCAAAAGTACCCATGAGACAACAAAGGACTTTTACATTAGTTTCTATTTTCTTTTCCCGCACAGCAAATAAGTTCAAACAATGATAATTTGAATCAGACTGCATCATTACACACAGAACATGGTATAATTAATAATGGCGAGAAAATCTCATAAAACGAATTAAACAGCAGGGTCACCGTATTTATCCTCCTTAAAGATACAGTAGAGAAGAGTTACAGCAAGGAAGCAGAGTTACGGTTACCACGCTGAAGCTGATCCCGTAACGGTAACGTATTAAAACGAGCGCATTAATATACACCTACCATACTTACCCTACATACTTATACGAAATGAGTCAACACTTTCTGACCAATCGCAGTCCAGCATTCGGCAGCCCCGTGATGTAAGCCTGCACATTAGACAGCTTTTTTCCCCTGAAAATACCACACCTCCTGATAAGGTGTTCATGTTAGCCCCACCCCCTCTTTTTTACAATGCGCTGTTGCAGGATTTACGGTCAGAACGGCTTTGAGTGTGGCATCACACACACACACACACACACACACACACACACACACTGCTGAAACTATCCATCACAAAGGGAAGGATTAATTTCTTTCTGCACCAGGGCTTCTACTGGGGTAAATCCTTCACCCATTACTCCTCACACACTCTCTTCTCGGAGAGAGAGAGAGAGAGAGAGAGAGAGATAGATGAAGGGATTGAGGATGGAAGGAGGAGCAGAGGGGAGAATCTTCTGACACACCCTCTGACGTGTGTTGGGAATGAGATGGAGGTGAAGAAGGAAAGACAGAGAGATGACTTGTGATTTACGCGAGGAGATTCTCCTCCAAGCGCAACGTCACCTACTCAACCTGCTGCTCTGTGTGTGTGTGTGTGTGTGTGTGTGTGCGTGTGTGCGTGTGTTTACATATTAAATTGTTTTTCCCGGGCGAGGTGACATATGGAAATGGTGTTTGCGGATAATGGTGTGACAGGATGACGAATGAGGTGACAAAATCAATGGTGTGTGCAATTACACTTCATCACACTTCACTCCCCCCTCCACTACGACTTCATTACCCACAATGCAACTCTGTACTGGTAATGTAAATATGAGGGGAGGTGCAACAGAGCAGGTTTAGTAAAGTGCCCAAAGTAATAAAACAGTAAACCAATAAAAATGTAAATAAAAATATACATGTACAAATAAGATATAGATATTATTATAAATGCACAGTAAAACATTTTATTAATAATTTAGTGATTATATATATTACATAATATATTATTGGATATGTTACAAAGAAAGAAAGAAAGAAAGAAAGAAAGAAAGAAAGAAAGAATCAATTTGACAGTTTATATTAATTTATACATTTTTATGTTATAAAAGGCACAAAAAGAAAAAAAATATATAGAATGTACGAATGAAATAAATAGTTTCATTTATTTAATCAATTTGCAATTTATTATTTAATAATTTTATAGAATTAAAAATATTCTTAAGTAAATAAATAGATTTTGTAATATAAATCAATTTATTTGTATTTTTTTTTCTTTTTGCCATAATATCTATTTAAATTGAAATATTTTTAAATGTAAAAATTTCTAAAAATTCCAACATATGCATTTTATTTGCTCAAGTATATTTAGGTTTTATTTGTGTGTGACCGTGTGTGTGTGTGTGTGTGTGTGTGCGCACAAATAAAATGTAAATATAATTGTGCAAATAAAATGCATATGTAGGAATTTATTATAGCAAAAAGGAAGGAAAATCCTGTTAGTTAATATTTTATTAATTTTTTTTAAATGTCATTTGACTTATATTTGTATTTATCATAACACAATAATATATGCACGGTATAATGTGTACTTTATATAGTATGTTATGCTTTATGTAAATGTACTATTCGAATATGTATAAAGTATAAAAGTGTGCATATGAACTGCATTATTATTATTGTTGTTGTTGTTGTTGTTGTGATAGTTAGCAGATAACGGTGTGACAGGAAGATGAATGAAGTGACAATCAATCGCACGTTTAATTACAGTTCATCAATACATGTACATTAACCACGATGCCCGTGACCTGTGTTAGCGTTAACATTAATGGAGGTGAAACAGTGTTTATTGATCATAAAGTAAAGAAAGAAAGAAATATGATTCTTTTTCTCATATTGTGTTTTATGCAACAATAATACCAACACACACACACACACACATATATATATATGTATATATATATATATATATATATATATATATATACATATATATCCATCCATCTTCTACCCCTTACTCCTTCTTCAGGGTCGCGGGGAACCTGGAGCCTATCCCAGGTTGCATCGGGCACAAGGCGGTGTCCATCGCAGGTCACAATAACATACACACTCACTCATACAGTACGGACAATTTAGACATGCCAATCAGCTTACCATGCATGTGTTTGGACTTGGGGAGGAAACCGGAGTACCCGGAGGAACAGCACGGGGAGAACATGCAAACTCCACACACACATGGCCCCGGCGGGAATCGCACCCCGGACCCTGGAGGTGTGAGGCGAACGTGCTGAACGTGCGCCCCTATATTATACATATATATATATATATATATATATATATATATATATATATATATATATATATATATATATAAATGTACACTATGTTACACACTATGTTTGGAGTTACGTATAACAAGTTAGTTCCTGTCCTCACTTACGTTAGAGCAGCTATAAACAGTCGTTCGCATCACCAGCATCTGTTTTTTTTTCTTTCTGAAAGCTAATAAGACCAAAAAAAAAAGACCAAAAAAATATGCAGTTTACACATTACTCACGTTACTGAGAAACCACAGAGCGTAAACTCCTCTGTCCTGAAGATGAGGGAAAACTGTTAGAACGCTCTGACACTGGAGACTCCTTCCATAAACATTAAATAAACCTAATAAAGTTTAGAAAACTTCACCATACCAACATTTATGCTTTTTAATCTGTTTATTATTCGTGGAGCATCTTCCGTATACGTCCCTGTAAACAAGCTGTTGCTATAGAGATGATAACGTATTAGGACGAGTTCTTATCCGACCAATCAGATCTGAGTATCCAATGGTGCTGTGGTATGATGATGATGATGGTTATTATTATTATTATTATTATTATTATTATTATTATTATTAAAGTGAGTTCTCTGATAGCAGTGTGATTTAGACATTATTAATGTAAAACTGATTAAATAAAAGACTGTTATTGAGCTGCTGTGGATCGAATGAGCTGAGACAGAGAGAGGGACGACTTATTCGCCAAGAGGAGAAGAAAGAGGAGAAGGAGGAATGAGAGAAGAGCTGGAAATTAGCACAGATAGATTATCTGTCATCTTGTAAGATGGTGCATTAGCAGGAGGGACGGCTAAAGGCTACAATTTAGCCATCGCTCATCGTAGCACATGCCGATGGAGCGTAATCATGAACATCCTTCAAAGTTGGTCAACATCAGTGTGGAGCTGGATTATTAAGGTGTGGGGGGAGGAGGTGTGGGGGGGGCATGTCTCAGAGATTTATAGATGGAAGAGTATACAGGAACAGAATCATGTTTGTGTATTTGTATAATTAAGGCGAGACACTGCAGGTGAATCATTAGGGAAAAAATAAACAATATACATCATAATCAATTTGGCCAGCTA